TGGCAGATCTTTGCCAAGGATTTTTTTTTCATGCGTGGTGGGGCGGGGAGGAGAGGGAGAGTGCGTTTCCTGTTTTTGTTTTGTTTTTTTAAATAAAATGTATTGAATTTTCTCATAGATACAAAAAGTACAATTACATCAACTTCAAGTGTATAGACTGATTCGAGTGCAGTCAAAGCACAGCAAAATCAGAAAAAATCCATCGTAGCTATGAACAAAGTAAATACATCTAACCTAGCAATTGATTACAGAACTATTCCATAAATCATAATGAGTCAATTTGGTCCAAGCTGGTAACAATTCACATACCTTTAGAATGCAGTTATATATCTTACCACAACCTTAGGTCATCAATCACCCTGGGAGTTACAGTGAATTGCATTAGGTATTCTAAGAGAGGAAGACTTTCCTGTTTTGGCAGAGTTACGGCGCTTGAGTGGCTGGGCTGGCAGCTCCTCTGGGCAGGGATTCTTGCGCACAGACATATAATGGCAGGCTCCCCGAGCAAAACATTGCCCCCCCCTCAGTAAAAAGTTCTTAGCTACGGGGCTGGGGGGAAGTTTGGGGGGGGGGGGTGCACACAGACATATAATGGCAGGCTCCCCGAGCAAAACATTGCCCCCCCCCTCAGTAAAAAGTTCTTAGCTACGGGGCTGGGTGGAAGTTTGGGGGGGGGGGGTGCCATTTCAGAATGCTAGAAATGTGTTCCATTGTAGGGGGCGGCATTTGGAGACCCTGTTCCAGGAGGTACAGCACTTGCTCCAGGGACCCTGTTAGGAGTAGGAAAGGGCACCTTAACATTTCGCCCTGATGACTTATGGAACTTCAGTTGCCCACCACCACCACCACTCCCAGTAAATAACAGGAAGTGACATATGGTGGCTAGGAATTGCTGGAAACTCTATGGCTTTACCACAGTGTTTCTGTTGATTCCTAGAGCTACCTATTTTACTTCTGGTTTCTTGGTGCCCTCCCCATGTCCCTATCCACAGCCACCCTGCCAGTTGCCAGGCATTACCTGGCAATCCTGTCCCCCCACCCCATTTCAATCTAGACCAGGGGTTCCAGGAACTTCCTTTTATGAAGGAAAGCCTCTTGAGAGCTCCATCCATGGCAACCCCCAGCATTTCTCCTTATTAGACCCTTAGAGAAAAGTATTACGCAACAAAATGAAATGGGTCTAGAAGATTGGACTAAGGGGGTATCTACAGAGCGATAGTTCCCTGTTTTACTGTCATTGGTGCTGCAAATGCCAAGGGCATTTACATTGGCAACAGATGCTCTGCTGCATGGACGCTTGCTCCTTGCCTTCCCCTGGCACTCACCAGTGATACAGTGATATACCTACTTGCCAGCTAAAATTTTAAAAAGGCAAAATGCCTGCCAGTGTTGGGGAGGTGGGGCAGAAATAGCGTGAGGAGAAACGGGGAGGGAAGAGTGCCAGATATGGGCCGGGAGGTGCAAGAAGACAGGGCACGAACTCCTCGTGGCACTTTTATGTTGCCAAAAGATGAGGCAAGCCTGCCCTCAGAACCTTCGCTTCCCTTTCTCCCCCCCCTGCTCTGCAGATTTGACTACGGTGACCGCTTCTGGGACATCAAGAGCAAGTACTTCACATGCCAGTGTGGCTCGGAGAAGTGCAAACACTCGGCGGAGGCCATTGCCCTGGAGCAGAGCCGCCTGGCCCGCCTGGAGGCCCACCAGGACCTGTTGCCAGATGCGGGTGGCCTCCCTGCCACCCAGGCTTAAGCCGGGCCCAGCTGCCAATCCCAAATGCTGGGGTCTTCCTGCTTCTTCCACCGGCCGCGTGGTTCTCTTTCCGTGCAAGCAAGGGAGCGTGCTGGGACACGGCAGCGGTCTTGTCTTCTCCCTCCGGAGCTCCCATTGGGGGGGAAAAATGGGGAGTGAAGAGAGATGGGGGAGTGAAAGAGAGAACTTCCCATAGATGGAAACCCTTTGGACAGAAAAAAGGGGATAAGTATCTGGGCTTGGATGGTCTCTTCCTCCCACTGAGCAGGTCTGCATAGCTTGAGACCTTTTGCTCTACATACCAAGGGTGTACGGTGGCCTTCCAGGGCCTTGACTACCCCTGCTCCCTGCGGCAGGCACCAAAAACAAGAGGTCTAAAATGTCCCTAGTGGGTTGCCGTACATGAGCTGCCTTTGACTGGGGAGGGCGCATCACAAGCTATGCGAGGGTGGTCTAGACCCAGGAGCGGCCTAGAAAAAGGATGGATGGTTACGTTCAAGATGGCAGTGCCTCCTGCTGGTGGAACAGTGTGTGCGTCTGCTTCATGTGGGGGTCAAGCTAGAAAAGAAGGAAGTCACCGATCTCTGTTTTATCTTTAAAAGCTCAGTGACAGCCAGAAGGGCTGAGGGGGGGGTCTTGGTTTAGATCATGACCACATGGGGAGGGCAGGCTTAGAACTTGTCCACTCTCAACATGTTTTTGCTAATCCAAACCACCACCATGGCCCTTTGCCTTTTTAAAGGAAACGATACCAGAGTGTGTCCAATTTGGGGCTTTTAAAGGCCAATGGAGACCCGTAACCTCTGTCACCTCTGCTCCTGCCCCTACTGTCTGTCTTTCCTCGTTGGTGTCTGGGAAACTTTGTACGTTTGTGGACTTCTTCTTGTTTTGGGCCAAGTACCTTTAGCTTTTTTCATAACAAAAGAATAAATTTTAAATTGGAGCCAAGAATTCTTCACATTTCTCTGCAAGCTTCCACTCGGGGAACTGGCGCCTCTGTTTTCTAGCTGCGTCCCTTTTCGTTTCCTGGAACAACAGGAGTCTGATTCAGATTCAAGGGGGGTGTCCCCCGTCTCTTTCTCTTTTGTGGGTTTTCATTTTGTGTTTTGTTAAAACTATAATTTTTCTGGGGGCCATAAAACAAATAAATGTTGACATCTGGTGATTTTTTTTTTATAGAAACCAAACCAAGTTGCATTGTGTGTTATTACACTCCTCAGGGTATAAAATCAGTTTCTCTACTAGTTTGGTAATGTCCTAAGAACAGAAGAAGAGCGCTGCTGGATCATGGTCCATCTAGTCCAGTCTCCAGCCTCACACAGTGACTCTGGAGGGTCAACAACAGGGCATGGAGGCTGAGGCCTTCCCCTGATGTCGCCTCCTGGCTCTGGGATTCAGAGGCTTAGTGCCACTGAATGTGGAAGTTCCCCTCAGCCACCATGGCTAGCATCCATTGATAGACGTATCCTCCATGAATCTATCTAATCCCCTTTAAAAGCTGTATTCCTGTGGCTATCACTACATCCCCTGGCAGCAAATTCCACATTTTAATCACTCTCTGTGTAAAGAAGAGAATAAGCCCTGTTCATTCTTCATATCTGGTACCTACTGCTGGACAGGTGTCGTTTTTCCTTGCCTTCCTGGTGATCGACCAGGGTCAAATCTTGGCCTGAGTGAAGGCTGAAGGAAAAGCAACAAGTTCTGCCTATAGAATAATTCTTACATGTAACCAAAAACACACAGACCAGGAACAGGGAGCTTGCTTAGGTGTCCAATACAGAGGCCTCTACCAAAGTCTCATGGCCTCTTGTCATTGGAGAAGGTGTCTAAATGGGTGGCTGCCTTATATTGAGTCCGACTGATGGTCAAGGTAGTTCAGACCGACAGTGGTTCTCCAGGGACTCAGGCAGAGAAACGTCTTTCCCAAGAACTTCTACCTGAATTTCTAAGAAAAAGGATAGGCCAGGAGTCCCGTATCCAGAACTTCCAGCATTTTCCAGAAGTCCTTTACCAGCTACATGGGGGCCCGACTGGGAGTCCCGTATCCAGAACTTCCAGCATTTTCAAGAAGTCCTTTACCAGCTACATGGGGCCCCAACTGGGGTTGTGATGTGAAGGATGAGGGGGGTGGGTTGAGTGTCACAGTAGGATCTGGAAGACCCAGATTTGACCCCCCACTCTGCCATGGAAGCTTGCTGAGTGACCTTGTCGCACATTTCAGCCTAGCCTACCTCACAGAGTCGTCGTGAGGATACAATAGAGGAAGTGAGAGCGATGAAGGAAGTGGATTTGCTCTGTGCCTGTAAGTTTTTCCATTGGGCACAATGGCTTCAGGAAGCAGCCGTATTAAACACTGGGTGGGGTGTGTTTTAAGTGCCTGCAAATTGCTTTTCCCAAGTGTCCTGTCGCTAACGGCCTCGCTCAGGACTTAACAAACTGAGGGCCATGGCTTCCTTGGTTGAGTCAATCCATCTGATGGATTTTCCTCTTTTTCCTGCCGCCTTCCAACTTTTCCTAGTACCGTCTTTTCCCAGTGACCACACCTCGTGTGTGGTGGTGGGGAGGCTTAGACTCTGCCCTCCCCTTGTGCTAGGTTCTTGAGCTGAACTGGGCCCCTGCATATGCCTAGCTGGATGAAATACGGGAGTTCTATAAATGGAATTCCCAGCACACTGCCTGGCTGGACCTTGCCGTCCTTGAAATTGGACACATCAGGGGTTGACCTTGGATCACATGCTTTGCCAACCAGGAAGGGCAGGGCCCCTACCTAAAAGCATCATAGTCTGTGGGGCAGGAGATGGGGCCATGGCTCAGTGGTAGAGCATCTGCTTTGTATGTGGGAAGCTTCAGGCTCAGTCCCAGCATCTCAGTTAAAAGGCTGGTAGCTAGTGATACAAGAAGCAGCATTGGTTTTATACCCTGCCCTTCACTACCCAGAGCAGCTTACAATCACCCCCCCTTCCTCTCCCCACAACAGACACCCTGTGAGGTAGGTGGGGCTGAGAGAGCTCTGAGAGAACTGTGACTAGCCCAAGGTCACCCAGCTGGCTGCATGTGGAGGAGAAGTGGAGAATCAAACCCAGTTCTCCAGATTAGAGTCCACCGCTCTTTACTACACCACAGCTGACTTGTGAGAGTAGAGAGTCCTGCTGGTCAGAGTAGACTCTTACCTTGATAGACCTGAGGATCTGAGTCAGTATGAGGCAGCTTTGTGTGAGTGGCAGTTCATGGATCGCAGGCTGTCCTGGGGGTCAGATTTGGACTCCAGACCTCCAGTTGCCTTACTTACATTCTGTCTCTGTTCTCAAGTATATGCATGGAATGTGGGACTTACTCTGGATGCACATGCCAATATTCTCACAAGGTTTCTAAAATGAGAAAACTGCTTCGATCCTGTCTGGACATGAAGCCCTGTGACCCGGAAGCTCATACCCCAGATTCCAGATCAGTGGAGAACTGGTTGCAGTTACCCAGGCTGTTGAAAAAAAGTTCTAGGGGCATGGGTCTCCAGTTGCTTACTTTCTGTTGTTCAGTCGCACAGTCAAGTCTGACTCTTTGCGACCCCAAGGACCACATCATGCCAGGCCCTCCTGTCTTATGCCATCCTCCGGAGTTTGCTCAATTCCATGTTCGTTGCCTCGATAACGCTGTCTAACCATCTCACTTTGCCATCCCCTTCTTTTACCTTCAATCTTTCCCAGCATCAGGGTCTTCTCCAGCGAGTGCTCCCTTCTCATTTGGTGGTCAAAGTATTTGAGCTTCAGTATATGTTGCTTACAAGTGGAGGCCTATTTGGTGTTCAGCGTGTCCATTTTGTGTGCAAGCCAGTGTGAGATCTGGAAATGTGTTTCTATTGCCTCCGGGACTGTGTTCTCTGATTCTGAACAAATGCATAAATTGATCCTGGAGGCATGGAATTTGGCACCCTCAGAATCAACATATTTCAAGTTTCTGGCCCCTAAGGTGTACGTGTGGGCCTCATCAGATGAAATCTTAGAAACGAACAGGGAGTGTGGCAGGATTTTTGTTTCCCCACATGGTCTGAAGGTGGAGCCTTAGGAGCATAGTGTCTACACAGCACTGAACGTACATTGGAGGCTCTGTGTGTGTGCTCTGTTCAAAGAAAATCTGGAACTCGGCATCCATTTAGCCTAGATAGTTTCCAACTCCTGCTGAGCAGGACAATGTGGACAGGTAGTGTGAGTGGAGATAAGTGTACTGGTTCAACCCACTGTTCTGACACCCACTCAGTTGTTCTACATACTAATGAATGCTGGAGGTTGATCTGTATCTCTTGTTCATACTAGCCTTGGGTTGGACAGAGATCAGAAGGCAATCGTTCTGAAACCGTGTGCTAAGAGAGAACTGCCAATTTGCCATTGGAGGAATAAATGAAATGAATGGCTGCTCTGAGACCAAAGTACCCAATCACCCACAGAGGAGGCTGTTTGTTGTATCTCTGTTGGATTTGCTCTCCCCCTCCCCCCCGCCTTGCCTTTGTCAGAGCTAGATAAGTTTTGGTGTACTTCTGCTTTAGGTGTAACTGAATAATTCCCACCTGTTGGGTTGTGGAAGTAACTTGTCCTTGGAAGAGGAGGCTGCCCTACATATCTCTGCATGAGTCACTGCTCAAGGCTTGCCTATTTCCAAGGGTTTTTTCTTCAAAAAAAACCCAACAGGCAATGGGCTCATCTTTGGGTTGGGCAGTTCTCAAACCAAACCTTTTCTGGTGTCAGTGAAATGAGTAAATTTAGTTCAGAAAGATGGTGCTTGGGCTATCGAAGTAAGTGATATGTAGCCTATATTGAACTTAGAGAGGGGTACTTTTTCTACCCTTATCAATTCCTTAAATGCTTTGGGTCTCAGATGAAAGATGTAAAGTGAAGATACCTGTAAAATGGGCACAAATGCTAGATGCTCCTAGTGAATGGACAGGGATCCTTTCTCACTTGATGCTTTTTTGTTGTTGTTGTTCAGTCGCACAGTCGAGTCCAACTCTTCATGACCCCATGGACCACATCATGCCAGGCCCTGCTGTCTTCCGTCGTGCTTTGGAGTTTGCTTAATGTCATGTTCGTTGTTCGTTTGGAGCTTTGGAGTTTGCTTAATGTCATGTTCGTTGTTCGTTGCATCGAGAACACTGTCTAACCATCTCATCCTTTGCTGTCCTTCCCCTTCTTCTTTGACCTTCCATCTTTCCCAGCATCAGGGTCTTCTCCAGTGAGTGCTCCCTTCTCATTTGGTGGCCAAAGTATTTGAGCTTCAGCTTCAGTATCTGGCCTTCCAGGGAACAGTCGAAGTTGATTTCTTTTAGGATTGACTGATTCGATCTCCTTGCAGTCCAGGGGACTCTCAAGAGTCTTCTCCGGCACCATAGTTCGAAAGAATGCCAGCCTTATACGTTCCCTCCCTCCGAAGCAAGAGTTTGGCTTCATAGGAAGTGGGATGAGGGGACGGAATGGACTGCACCACTTTAGAGTGCAGGGGGAAGGATACCATTTTGAACGCCCCCCCTCAAACCTGTGAAAACTCCTTGCAAGGGAGGAGGGAAAAAATCACAGCAAGGAAAGGCGTTCTGGTTTAGCCTGATCCCTGCCCTGTTAGTTTTCTGTTTCCAGGGTGTTTCTTACATACAGTATGGGGGTGGTGGTAGAAACACTGTTCCTGCCTTCTGAAGTGGGAAAGCTCATCCTCTCCCCTCTGGCTTCTCCCATTTCATTGCCATCTCGTTCTAGAGCACGTCAACCAGTGCAAGTGGCACATTAAATGCTGAAAAGGCAATCGGCTTGCTGGTTGCTTGTACCAAGGCTGTGCCCAGAGAGTGTGGCAGATAGGCCAGCTTTTTAACTGTAGCTGTGCCTTTAGAAGTACAGTGATATGCGGGTATTCTAGGTGACCATATTTATGTCCCTGTGGAAACTTAACCTGTGGATATCAGGATGCTGTTAGAAGCAGAGGAGAACCCTGAGTAGAAGTATTCTTTTCCTGGTAAATTGATACCCTAGTTTGAACAGGATTGTGAATGTGTGCATAACTTGTTCTCCTGAGATTGTATCTTGTTTATACAATAACCATGGTAGCAGGTCTTAAAGTTTGTTGGCGAGGAAGGAGCTAAAACCCTTCAGTCTCT